GTTGATCAAGATGCAAATTTGGAAGACGAATGTAATCGAGGACCTCATCTTCGTGTCTAATCTCATTATTGAAGAGTGTGAGCAAGCTTTCTTGAGAAATGAGCTTCGTCTTGTCTTTATAATTTCCGGAGAGCGTTCTCCACCTGTTGAAAATATTGTAATTGTTATAATGTAAAGGGGAACTCCCTTTTCTTCAGAATGTATATTATTCTCTTTTCTCGGATTTAGCTCACGAAATATGTATATACAAACTCTATCATTGATTCATTAATTCCTTCACTTAGTACTATTTAACATTATTTCTAAATCAACTTCATAAACCCAACATTTTCGATATTTCTCTGGGAAGAACTTGATCTACTAATGTGGACGTAATAATTTTCTAGTTTCTCGATGGATTGCGTCATCTTCCTTTTCCTGTCCTGTATAGTTCCGCAATCTCGAATACTTAAAAGTTCTATCAAGTTTTTCTATTTGCGTACGATTTCATTTCCTTTCTTTTTATTTTATTCCTTAGTATTACTATGATTTAGTTCACTTCGTATTCCAATATAAAAATTTCATCTAATTATTTTGTCCGACTGATTTACATAGGATTTACTATCATCTTGAGAGGTAAGTTCAAGTGTTCGTAAATTCCTTATCGTTTGGTTTAATCTGCTACTAGTATTTCTTAATCAAGAAGGGAAGTAATAAGGATGATTCAACAATATATCTGCATTGATAAGCGACTTCCTATTTAAATTTTTCCTCTCGTTATATGTTTTGGTTTCTTCCGTTTTCCTTTCATTATTTTGTCTGGATTCATTACAGGATAATTTTTATGTCTTTCAAAAACGGCTATCGGTATACGGCTTTTAAATGCTTCTTCTACCTCTAATTCAACTTTCCTATTTTCGGTATTCATATTCTTGCCGGAGATAATTTTTAATAACAATATCAGTAGACATATTAATTTATAAATATCCTCTACTATTTGAACTCTACTATTTATCCTATTATGCACTTTCGTTTCATCCTTACGTATTGGTTCAACATTATCTATTATCTCCTCTCGTTCATGAGACTTTGACTCTTGGGAAGATTCTGTTCCTTTCTTAGTATCCTGGCTAATTTTCATACTTTCATTTAGTTTTGTTTCCTCAATGGAATCTCTACAAATTTTCTTTTCATTATCTTTGTTACGCCCAAACTTTATATCTTTAGCCATATTGCTTACTTTCTCTTTATTGGCTTTGCGCTTAGCTTTAGTTTTTCTGATTGTCCCTAAGTGTTTATTCTGCTTATGGCGTTTGCGTTGAGGAATCGCCCGAACACTTCTCAGTATGCTTAATTCCGAATAATTTAAATCTATCTTTTTCGGTGGTTTGATCTGTTGCTCTTTCCAATAATACTTCCCTTTTGTGTGACGGGGAGAGCAAAAATGAACTTCACTACCATTTTCTAATATTATCCTTTTATTTTCCCGGTCTATAAACAATTTCTCCTCTTCTATAAAATCTTTTCCTATTATACCATCACAAGGTATGGTTATTTCTGGATCGACTATTCTCGCTATTCTTTTAAATTTTAATCCTCTTAACTTAAATGTCGGCAGTGCTAGGCCTCTAACCAGAATAGTTTTTCCCGGACTATTTTCCATNAATAGATCTCCAAGGTTTCGAATCGTAAGATCCGATCCTAATCTATTTCATAGGAGAGCTATTAAAATGTTGATTGGATATAGGCGGCGAAGACTATATCTAACGTCAGGATTCCTTGACACCAGTTAATCATTTATTTTACACGCGGATTAACACGCGTATGCGATCTGATTCGGAATGAATTGAGGAGACATACTTATATATTAAAACAAGAGTATATTTAATAAATATCAAACAAACGAATACAGAAAATCAATAACAACGATTATACGACAAGTTAAAGGTTACGACTTAATCTATGCTAATGCGCATTCGAGAGAGAGCTCACAAATGATTCTAAACATACGACCTGTTAGTTGTCGTCTTCTTTTCTGTAGATATAGGACACCTTGTAGATAGGGTTCATATTACTTTTGTATGGGAGATCAATTCGTGCACAAAATATAAAAATATCACTTCTACGTATAGGCCTGGAACTTAGTCTAAATGACTCGTATAGGGCGTTGGCCTTCTGGAGGGAAACGTATGTGGAGTCTGGACACTTTCAAATCGGTCGGAGAACTCCTCGAATTCTGACTAATTTCTCCTTTTATTTCAAAATTTCGTCCAATCATCGTCCAGTAACTCTTTCGTGAGAACGGATGAGAGGGGGATGAATGAGGGGTAACCATTTCCCATCTGAGCGAGATTTTTAACCAGATACGGGAAAAACAGCGGATGTTCTCTTCGATGAAAGGAAATAACATTTGTTTTTCCCACATCTAAAACAATATTTTTTTCACAAAAACGAAGTAATATTTTGTCGATATTTTAAACATATTAATAAAATTATTAACTTAGACCCAGGGCCTTTCGGATCTCACACTAGTCTGAATATATATAAATGCAAGATTGCAGTAAGAATGTGACCAGATGTCAAGGATAGATGAATAGTTGACAGTAGTATTTAGTGGTGAGAAAAAAATGGAATTAAGATAATCATGATGGTTGGATGGGGTATTGTCCTGGCTATAAACAGGATTGAATCGAGGACCAGAATTGATTTTGAGAAAGGAGTCAGTTTTACAAAATTTGAATAGAAATCAAATTATCAAGACTCTCAGCACAATAAATGAAAGTTACATTTTAAATAGACTTCAACTGTAGTTAATATCTATTTTTTATAATGATCAGGATGCCTGCTTCAAAAATCAGTAATTATTAGAGAATTTTATAGCGTTGCCAACTTTTTTACTGTTTATCATGCTTTTTATGATGTCCCATCTTCATGTATTATTTCAGCAGATGTCTTCAATCAGTGAAAAATAAGCACACACTATATATTTCCTTTCTTTATTTTACTATAATAGTGAATCTCCATCTGCCTATGCTAGAAGAGATTGTGGGTCTCCTATATGAATTTAATTATTTAAATTGATAAAAATTTTATAAATTTTCAACACCATGTGTCTTTGACATTAGGTGCATTCAGTATATGACCTGATACACAAAGTTTCTGGATCTGCTGAACTGAATGATATCAAGCAAGTAATCAGTGGCTGACTGATTCCACAAGTTCTGAGTCAGTCAGAAAAGATGGTCTAGAAGTGCTTTTAAGATGACTGTTCCCAGTAATGAATTAGTCATGTTAAAATATTTAGATAAAAGTAAGAAAACTATAGTTAAAGTTTTTCCAGATACTATAAAATAATAAATAGATCTGAAAATGAACTTTGAATTCACAAAAATCATAATAATGAATCAAATTTTTCACATAATTCTCAATATGATTTGGCAGCAAACTTTTTGTTTGTTTTAGTTTATATGAGTTACAATTAAATCATTGGAGATAAATCATTCTTTATTGCCATAAAACCTCTATGTTATCATTGTTTGTAACTTCAAATAACAGTTCTCATCTCAGCCATGTAATGTTCAATGTGCTCCAGATTACTATCAATGACCAATTGAATTGCATCATCTGGATCAGATTGTGTACTGAATACTATCTTGTGACAATTATGATAGTCAGATCATTAGAGTGGATCAAACTTTACATTAGAGTGGAAATTGCCATGTATGCATGCAATTGTATGAAAAATGAAATATGTATGATCACATGCACAGTACAAAGAGGCAAATTTTTTGAGGGCCTTTGATAAGCAGGAAAAACATTTTGACCAAAATTTTTACACAATAAGATGGATAACATGTAGCACGAGGATATTATCATAGAAGCACAGCTAAGTAAGTCAATTTGGTGAAAAATATCTGTAAAAAACTAGTAGGCACAAAAAATTTCTGCTATTGCATGTGATTGCAGGTTAATAAAATATATATATATAGTGACATTATTGAATATTATGATTTTAAATAAATATAATTTTTGTATGTTTTGTTATTTTCAAAATATTTGAAATTTATATTTTTACTAAAGCTTATTTTATTTTAAATAGGAAAATGTTCAGCTGCTGCTTTGGATGTTTTGGCAAATGTATTCCATGAAGAATTATTACCTGTTTTACTACCAATTTTAAAGGAAACTCTCTTTCATCAAGATTGGGAAATTAAAGAATCTGGTATTTTAGCTTTGGGTGCTATTGCAGAAGGTTAGTTAAAATTTTAACTAATTTAATGACCTAGTATGCTAATAAAGAAATAATTAAATGATTTAAAATATAAAAAGATATTTATATTTTAAAATACTTTTTTTATGAATTATACACATTTTTAATTTTCATAAAATAGAAAAATTTAGAACATTCTGTAAATTAGAATTAGAGTAAGAATGGGTCTAACATTTTATGTATAGTTACATTTTTATGCATCCTCATTTTTTTTTTAACTTGCCAAAATATTCACAATAACTTGTCACTTATGTATTCTAAAAAATAAGTTTTAGTTAATGGAACTGTTCTTCCCTGGTATCATTTATGAACACACTACTATAAAAATGGTTCCATTTAACCTAAATACAGATTTCTTTTGGATGTATTAAAACTTTGAAGACTGCTCAGTTTTTAATAAGAAGTTCATTTTTGAACTGTATTTTTTAAACAACAGTAATAAAATTGAATTTTTTGAGTTTGAAAAATTAATTAAAATAACAATACATTCAAACTATACACAACATTCTAATGATATTTATATCAGACTTGTTCTGTGCGTTGTTAAAAACACAAAGCATAGTAAACAAATTAAATATAAAATCTCTGTTTTAATGTTGCATCGTTAAAAAAAATAATCAACAAATTACATCTTCCTCATTATTGATAGTCCAAAAAGTGCTAAACCATTATACTTTTTTCTGTCTTTAGATGAAACCAAAATTAAGAAAGTTAATTTAAAGTTAAGAAAAATATTTAACTCTTTTAAAAAATTTAAGCTTTAAAAATTTTTATATACATGGAGATGAACTTTTTACCCCTCAGACTATAAAGGGAATTAGTATAACAACCAGTCAAACAACTTTCCCTTTGGCTGATTTTGTTTTGGCCAATAATGTATTTAAAGAGTTAATTTTAAAAATAATACTTACATTATTTCCATTTTCAGAAGTTGAGAGAGCTTGAGATGAATATATGCTGAAAAATTTTATACATTTGAAACATGAACGTGTTTAGTTTAAATCAGTGTTTCTCAACCTCTAACAAATCGTAGCCCCCTTCACTTCAAAATTCCAATGCCGAGGGCCAAGGATAACGCAAATTTGTATTGCATTGAATAGACTAGTGACTAGTATAATGTTATTTGTTTAATTATTGTATGATATAATAAATAAAATATCTAATTATTCTTAATATAATGTTTTACTATATCGCCCAGAAAATTGTTTTTGCCCCCAAAATATAAATTGTTACTAATCGCCCCCTCAACATGGAAAAACACCCACATGGGGGCAATATCGCCCCCGCTGAAAAACACTGCACTAAANAAAAAACTCTGATGCCAATCAAGCTTCAAAATTACGATGCCAAGACTAATGCCAAATTTGTATTGCATTGAATAGACTAGTGACTAGTATAATGTTATTTGTTTAATTATTGTACGATATAACAAATAAAATGTCCTAATTATTCTTAATATAATGTTTTACTATATTGCCCAGAAAATTGTTTTTCACCCCCAAAATATAAATTGTTACTAATCGCCCCCTCAACATGGAAAAACGCCCACATGGGGCGATATCGCCCCCATTGTGAAACACTGGTTTAAATCCTACTGTTTTATTATAAATTAGATTTATATTATTATTAGTGTTGTTTAAGTTTTAAAATAAAATTAACTTACATCTCTATATAAAGAATTATGTAATTGTGCATTTCTAATTATCTTGATATTTTTTTATAGGGTGTATGAATGGAATGATTCCACATCTTCCAGAACTCATTCCTTTTTTGATTTCATGTTTATCCGACAAAAAGGCTTTAGTTCGCTCTATCACGTGCTGGACTTTAAGCAGATATTCACATTGGGTTGTCACTCAACAACACGATTTATATTTGAAACCATTAATGACAGAGGTAATTAAATTAATATATTAATAACTTTTGAAACAGGTAACATAATACAAATTTTATCTGTTTAGCTATTAAAGAGAGTATTGGATGCAAACAAACGAGTTCAAGAAGCTGCTTGTAGTGCATTTGCAACATTGGAGGAAGAAGCTTGTACAGAACTAGTTCCTTACCTTGCCTTTATTTTGGAAACATTAGTATTTGCTTTTAATAAATATCAAGTGAGTTAAACTATGTGTATCTATCTACAGTGACTTAAAATGAAATGATTAAAAAATAAATATTTGATAACCTGATAAATAAATGTATTCGTACTATGATCAGAATATTTAGTAAATAAACAGATGTTTTTATAATTTAAATATTTTACACAATCCTTTAATTTTTCCAGCATAAAAATCTTCTCATATTGTATGATGCTATTGGTACATTAGCTGATTCAGTTGGACATCATTTAAATAAACCAGTAAGTTGTGGGGTTTTTTATTTTATTTTATTTATCTTTTGAAGTAAAATTTAATTCAATTTAAAATTACATTGTACATTATATTAATTCATTTTTAGTTTATAAAATATAATCTTAAAATTAAAACTAAAATATTTTATTTGATCTGCATGATAATTTAATATTCTACAGATATTAAATGTTTATATGAAAATTGCATTTAATAATATTTTTAGAATAATATTTTTTTATGGATACAAGAAATTTTATTATTAAAATGTATATGTGTATATAGCCAATAGTTGGATTAATTTTAGCAGGGTTTAACACATTAAGCATCACAATAGGAAGGCATAAATTATTACCCTGGGCCATCCTCTTTTTTTGGTGAACAAAATCACACAAATTTGATGACCATTTAATATAATTTTGCCTGCATTATTAAAAAACTTTTTTTTTTCTTAATTTTTAGGCTTATTGTGGAATTGCAATACTTGGCTTGAATGATTATTTTTATTATGTTATGCCATCATATATGCTAACCATCAGGTCTTGAATTCAGCAGAACTTTACTGTAATCAAAGTTGCATAAATGGATCAATACAAATTAAAGAAAAATATAATAATCATTAAAATAATGTACCTGCTGTTTTTTCTTACTGTGTATGTGCACTGAAAGAAAACAAAAATTGTTTCTTTCATATTTGTTTTTGTGCTGTGTATTTACATGATATTGTACTTATTCACATTCATTGTGCAAGAAAAACATTAGAAATGGCAAATTTTGCTTATATTTCATATTTTTGTAAGGGAGAAAAATTAATTTCCTATTAGTATTCTGTCATAAAAAAAATTTACTGGATTAAGTGAAAATTCCATAACCCCAGGTCTTGCTCTAATTATTTCCATTATGTTTATATGGCTAGCATATTGCTCCAAAGTAAACACAGCACAGTATTAATATAGAAATAGTTGTAGGAGACTTAGCAGTTTGATATGTAATAGATATCTGATTATCATCAGTATATTTCATATAAAGTCTCATTGGCAACTATGGAAGAGCTAATATGTGTAAGAATTTTGAAATTACATGTAACAGATATGTGAAACATTTTTTGATTCAGTGTATCTGATAAAAGCAAGGATATGTAGTGAGTTGTAATTGTAGAGTATTATTGGTAATTACAGCAGTGACATAATGCATTAGTAGTAATAGCATCTGGTAGTAATAGTCATGTTTTTATATGCACTGATTTTTGCAATTTCTCCTTAATGTAAAGTAGTAGTTAATAAGTTAAATTAAAATATATAGAAAATTATCAGATAGCAGTAATAATTATTATAATTGTAACATTTGAAATGTTTCTTTCAGGATTATATAAATTTATGAATTATACACATTTTTAATTTTCATAAANAAATCAACTTAGTAAAGTAAGTTTACTCTTTGTTTCGAGATTTCACTCATTGACGAAACCATACACACACACACAACTGAAACTCAACCAGTGAGTGTAATGCACGATTTTAGCCCATACATCGAAACTCAAGGCTCTCGATGAGATATTACAAACACTCAGTTTGTGCTGTTGTTTTTATATTCATAACTTAGACTAAAGGGAAAATTCACGAAATAGGCGATGGATAAATAAGTAAATAAATATGAAATTAAATATTAAAAATGATTTTTCTTTTTCATGTAGTGTCTTTCTAGTGTTGCAACTGCACTACAATCTGGATTTCTACCATATTGCGAACCAGTATTTAGACGATGTGTGTCATTAGTAGAACAAACATTAAATCAGAATATGGTAAAGTATTTTTATTAAAATATTTATACAAAGTAACTTCCTACAAATGGTTTTTATATTTGTATTTGTCGGTATTAAATTTTGAAATATAAACAATGATGACAAAATGTAATAAATTGAAATGTAATGTAAGTTAAAGTATTCGTACTGTCTGATTGATATTTTGATATATTAAGATTAGAAGCCAATAAAAGACTTAAAAAGCTTAAAGAAAAATTTTATTTTACTTAGGCAAATGCTGCTCATCCAGATCAATTTGAGGCTCCTGATAAAGATTTTATGATTGTTGCCTTAGATCTTTTAAGTGGTTTATCAGAAGGTTTAAATGGACATATGGAATCTTTAGTAATATCAAGCAATATAATGCAATTATTATATCAATGTATGCAAGTAAGTAAATTTATATTAAATATTCACATTAATATTAAAGTATACGAAATTGTGCTATATTTCAAATTATTTTGCATTTTAAATTAGGATCCAATGCCAGAAGTACGACAAAGTTCTTTTGCATTACTAGGTGATTTAACTAAGGCTTGTTTTCAACATGTTAATCTTTGTATACGTAAGTATTATAATTATTTGTATTAGATTTAAAATAGATTAGCATGTCTGCTTAATACCCTTATTTCCTTGGAAAATTCATATATAAATTAGTTTTTCTTCTTTGAAGTTTATATAACAAAAGTTTTAAAAATTGCATCTTAGAATAAATAACTGTATTTCTTCTTTCCTTATTAATTGAAATTTTTTATGGCAATAAAATTAACTAACAATAAATATGTATTAAGAAACTAGAAAAATAATTATTATTTTAAAAAATGTAAAGGAAAAATAAATACTTTCTGTAAAATGTGATTAGAAAGAATTATTTAATCTAGTAATTTTTAGGCCAGCATTGGTTATTGGATTAAAAACCATTTTGGGTCATTTCCTTCCAAATTATTATAATTGTTTATAAATGTATTGAATTTAAATTTATTTGATTTTATCAATCTTGTCCAATTGAATCTGTATTTGAAATCTCACAGGAATGAGAAAAAATATTTGAGATATAGAGTTTCCAAACAGTAAACAGTAATAGGTTTGATTGGCAATATGTATTTTATTAATACAATAGAAAGTACAGTATATACCTGTAATAGGTATAAATAAAATATTTTTTGGAATACCTTAACAGAAATAGTTTAAAATATGACTTTCTACAACTAATAATGGTGCGAAGTACAACTAAACAATAAAAAACAAACATTTTCATAACCCCTTCTGGATTCTTCCTTGGGTTTTCTTAATTCTAAATAAGCTGGATTTTCCAATTTCATTCAAGAATATAAAATTTGAATATAAATCAAAATCAAATCAATTGAAAATTAGAATGTTTTTAAAAACTATTTAAAAGTTGTTTTGAAATTTTCAAATTGTAACTTAAATTAATTTTTAAATTTGTGTTGTTTGTGTGTGGCAGTGACTGAACATTTCGCTTTTAATATGTATACAGATAAATGTTATTAAAAATAATATAAAAACTAAAACTAAACCTTTATGTGTATTTTGTATATAACCAAAAGTTGTTATTCAAAAATCAAACTTAAAGAATAGTTGCTATGGGAACAAATGAGTACCCATCTCTTCAACCCAAGTCTGACTTGTGAATCAAAAGTGAAGTTTTCTCGTGTCTCCTGTCCCTATGCAAAGACCTTGCAACCCCCTTTGTTAACCCTTTTCATGAATTCATGCTGAGTCCACAGAGGAAGTCCTTTTGAGGAACGAATTGTAGACCCCACAGATGATCCAGTGTGACTTACTTACATGCTGCTGCTTTGTAAAGTGTTGGTTTCAGTTTTGGTGGGGACAGAACATTTTGCTTTTACTATATATACAGATGATTTTTTAGATTTTATTATTTTACTTTGTAAGAAATAAAGGTCTATTTAAAAATTAACATTTGAATTACATTTAAAAGTTTTTAAAAATATATATATACTTAAAACTGCTCTAAGTTGTGGCAATTGAAAATTTTTTACATTTTAAGAAAAAAATAAAATTATTATTTTGTTAAACTGGTTAAATATGTATCTAAATAGAGACACTGATTTTCATGTACTAAAAATAAAAGCTCCCCATATTTAAAAGTTAAAACTAAAATAAAAAGTTAAAAAGTTTCATATGCAAATGTTAGTTCGTGTATGAAACTAAACCCAATTCCCCAAAAAGCTCTTCTTAATATACTGTAATTATCTAATAGGGTATTAAAATACTGTACTGTGCTATAATCCAGGGTGTATCAAAAAGATGACCTGATTTTAAAACTATATTTGTTGATGGAAACATACTACAAAACAGGGACAAAATGCAAAATACTCGCAAAATCTTAGTATCAGCTATATTATTACAAATACTTTGTGTCCACCAATAGCTGCATGGACATCTAGATAATAGCTAAATTTGTCATACACTCTACATAAGATATCTATGTTGACAGAAGTCAAGGAAACTCTTATTTTGTTTTTTTAGCTCATCTGTGTCACGAGCTAAAGGAGGGATGAAAACTCTTTCCTTCACATAACCCCACAAGAAAAAATTTGCATGGGGTCATGTCTGGAGCTTGAGGCCAAGAATGTAGGGCAGTGTCTTGGGATCTCATGCATCCTATCCAGCATTGAGGCAGTGTGTCATTGAGAAATTGTCATACACAGTTATGCCAGTGTGGTGGGGCTCTATTCTGTTGGAATATGAAATCATTAGTCGTCCTCAAGTTGTGTAAAAGTTTGCACTAGTTAGCTATTGTCAAGATGTTGTCCATGCAGGTACTGGTGGACACAGAGTATTTGTAATAACATAGCTGAACTAAGATTTTGTGAGTATTTTGCATTTGTCCCTGTTTTGTAGTATGTTTCCATCAACAAATATAGTTTTAAAATCAGGTCATTCTTTTTGATACACATTGTATTGTGATCATCCCAAAAGACAGGCAAATTATTGTCTTTTTCTGACAAATTCTTTCAATTATTTACATAGCAATTAAATGTATTTTATTTTATTGTACATGTTGGGTGCATATTCTGGTAAAGCTGCTTTGTTAAAAGATGGTTAAACTATTTCCGCTTGAAGTTAGCTGCTGCTGCACTAGTGCAGTGAGGCTCCAAGTGCTGAAAACAGAAGATGGCTTCCACCCTAAATTATATGCATATTGCATACTTAAAGTGAAGATTGTTACATATGAAAATGTATCTTGAAGTGATTATCCAAAAAATTAGAAATGCACTTTTCCACAGAATTGTTTATGCTGACATAGACATCTTCAGATTTAGTAATGGCAAATACACATATTAGACTGTTGTTGTTTACCAATTTGAGGAAGGACGAAAGACACCTCTGTGGGGTCTGATCAATGTTGGGCTGATGCCACCAGTTTTAGAGATTGACCTTAAGGTGAAAGGTTACGACCCTCGCTTTGCCCACAATCTGTTGGGATGATGTGAGAAAGCTTTTTTATGTATGGGCGTAGTGGTTTGCTGGATGCAAAGGTGACTCACACAGAGACTGAAATGACTAAATTAACGTGTTTATTTGACAAGACATGCTTACAATGATGGCGATTTGCCGATCTGATGAAGTTGACCAATGAAAGTTCTTTTTGGAGAAGTAACTTCCTATAGGACTGAAGAGGGTTCGTCCTCGATCCCAATTGTTGCTGGAGGCAAGGAGAACAGGGATCCACATCAGGAGATAGGTACCAGTCTGGGTAGATAAGCGTTTTTGGGGGAAGTTGAGTCCCTTACTTTGCCTCACTTATCCAAGGTTTTGGGTCTTCTCTGTTGTCCTGGTTTTAGTCACTACGTCAGTCCAACTGTGTCCCGATCTCTACTCTCAACCTCAATACTCCCAATTTCGGGCTTTTATATCATTTTTACCTGAAATTCCAAGGTTTTGGTTGGTTTGAACGATGGTCCTCTGTAATTTCATTAGTACCTGGTCTGTTGCCAGGTCATGATTTGGGCTGCAGGGTTGCTGAACATCCCCGTTTGGGCCATTTCCCTCCAGAGTCGGGTCAAGCCCTTCCCCAGATGACGGACCTGTAAATTTATCATATAGGCATATTACTGGAAAATACATGTTTCATACAAGATAAACAATAAAAACGATGATGTCGTAAATTTTTCATGTTAATCATTTTCCTATACGAGTTATTTTTTCCCCAAGTTCAACCAAAAAAATAGATTGAGGTTTCACTGTATTTCTATTTGAAACAAATACTGTATTATTATACAATTATTCACTTATCTAATTTTTTATTTTAAAATAATTAGTATATTATTATATAAAATTTAAAAATGATTTATTAAAAAATTTATTTTTATATTCATACTTTAAATTTTTTTACAGAGGATTTTTTACCAATACTTGGTCAGAATCTGAATCCAGAATTTATATCAGTGTGTAATAATGCAACTTGGGCAATAGGCGAAATTTCAGTTAAGCTTGGTGAGAAAAATTTTTTACATTACTTTTGCTGAATTAGTTATTATTTTTATATATTTATAATTATTTATCAGAACTTCAAAATAAAAATGAAATTATTTTGGACAGTGTTTAAGAAATATGGAAAACATAAATATTAAAATACTTTTAAAGTTTCAGATATGATTTTGTAAACAAATTGGTGTTATCTCAGTGTGATCAGTGTTATGAATTGCTCTTAGTTTATGATGAACATATATAATATTTTGAACTAAAGATATTCCCCAGTATTGATATATTGTCAACAATTTTTTTTAAGTAATATTTTTTATATGAAACATTTAACCACTTTTAAAATGCTGCACAATTACTGTTTTACACTCAAAATATTATCAGAACAATGAATCTTTCAGAAGACATTTCAGTCATAGCAAGAAGAAATTACATTGACAAATTATTGAATATGCAAAGTAGTAAAATAGTGATTTTTCTGTCTTACCAACATTGGATAGACAAGAAAGATCATATTTCCATCAATGTACTTCAGGAAATTATAGTAAATGCCTAATCAGGAATTTTTGTAAAACTATTTGTGTAGTTTTATTAAGAAACTGATTGCTGTTTGAAAACATCATTTTCTTTAAAAAGAATAAACTATAGGCAATGTCTGTGTAAATTATGATACTTCTACAACATAGTTTCACAACTCTCTAACTGTGCATGAGTGAAAACTCATGCACATTAGCTTTTATTTGATTGATTATAAATTTTTTATGTATGTATGTATTATTAATTGTATTGAATATTCTTTAGAATGAGAATTAAATTCACAATAAATTATGTATGAGGAAAATTAAAAAAGTCATTAAAGGAAACTTTATTTTTTGAGAATCAAATTTCAAATCATCATAAGAAAAAGGGAAAGGTTTAATATACTGAAAAAGTTTAAATTTAAATTAAACAATTGTTGCTTTATTTAAAAATGAACAGAAAATTAGAACTGCTCTTGCCACAGGATCTTTTCTGTACTGGTTATGAGTTTCTTATGTCATGTTTCTCACTACATAAGACATTATAGGAACTTAATCATGTTATTATGAAGAATTATCGGCATTGTTATTTCAAACACCATGAGAACTGTTTTTATCTTTGATAATATATTTTCCTTTTGAAAGATAATTTTAAGTCATCAAAGTTAATAATTTCAGTTATATACATATAATTATTAAAAGATGCTTTACAAATTAATTTCTATCTGAATTAAAGTAGTAGCTGCACATTAGTAATTTCATTTTTCATTTCAGCATTATACAGATTTATATGCAGTTTGAAATGCTCAAACATATTACAACTAAATTGACTTTGCATTTATATTTTAAATAATTTCATATGATTGTTCATTTTATAGAATATTAACCGAATATTATTTTATTAATGTTCTTAAAAATGTTTTCAGATTTAACAGGAATTGTTAATTTGAAAAATATTGTCTTCTATTAATTTAATTTTAGAGAAATTTAAATTGACTATTTTTACTTAAAATTTTCTGTTTATAAATAAGTGAGTTCAAAAATTGTGGTGTGTCCTACATTTTCCTTTTTTTACATCTGTTGATACTGGAATATTATCTATTTACAGAATTTAAATATGCTATTATCATTAACTTGTTATACACATCATTTCTTCAAGTCCATTATTGTAAAGATCACAAGTATTTATTAGTTAATAATTCATGTAACAAATACTTTTGTTATATGAATCTTGATTAAAATTGATAAAATTGAATTTTCATGTATAGCAAAGAAAATTTGATTAATTGTAATATAGTTTATTTTAAATGATTTGAATGGTTTCAGGTCAAGACATGAAACCTTATATAGGAATGGTTTTAAATCAACTAATTAGCATCATAAATCGACCAAATACACCTAAGACTTTATTAGAAAACACAGGTATGAATAATTGTGTATTGTATTTTAAAATATAAATTTGAATTTTTATAATTTTTTAAAATATTTTAAAACTTAATTTAAAAATTTATGCTTTGAATTAACTTGAATTGGGATTTCTTAAATAATTACATTCTTGAAAAAAGTTCTTAACATTTTAATAATCAAAACTAGTTATTATATAAAATTTATGTGACTATGATTTTTATAGTTTTTGCTCAGAGATTAATATATTTTTTTTTACCAGGTTATTTATCTTAATAATCTTAGAAATTTTCTTGTAAACAAAATTTTAAATCAATATTATTATTAACTTCATGAAATTTGCTTTATTTTGTGGGTTTTGATGTCATTATTTTTGAAAGTTCCAGTTTCAAATGTTGTTCAAAGAACTGAAATACTGAATTTCTAATTGAAAATATAACATTATACAAATTAAAAAACATTTTTTTTATAATAGTAAAAGTTAGGAACTAAAACAATGTGTTTTATAACTTCATTCAGGTAGGTTATTTTCAGCATTTAATAGAAAATGTAATAATCAGATGCAAACTGAAAATATATCATATATGTAAATATGTTCACATTTGAGCAATCAAATGTTATAACAACTTTACTTCATGTTCAAAAGGTTTTATTAATTTTTTTAAAGTGAATCTTAGATATTGTATGAATGAATTAAATGGAAATTAAAAGTCAGTTTTTTCTTGCTATTAACAAAATTTATTACCATGATGATAAATTCACATTTAGGTAATATTTTTGTTTTATTATGTGGATATTCATTCATGACTTTATTCATTTGAATTTTCATTAAAAATTGAAAATTTTAATGAATTTTGATGTGTAGATTTTAATAATATAATTTATACATTAAAATTCTCAGATTTCAATGTATAAGTTTAAAGTGAGTAAAATTAATAATAATAATAATAATAGTGATAAGTAGTAACATTTTCATTTAATGATTTTGTTTAGTAATATAATTTAAATGTTTTTATGAAGTAATATAATTAAAATCCTGAAATAACTACACAGAGTTATTTACAGTTAGACATTAACATTCTACTTAAATTATAACTAATTTTTATCATCAGATTAATGTAACTTTTGAAGAAGAAACAAATTGATTGGAATTTTAATGTTTAAATTATGATAAAAATTTTATATTTGCAATTTAGAATTATGAGACATGATCAAAATGAATGAAATAAGATTTATTTTAGAATTAAAATAAAGCTGCAATTTATCATATATAATCAAATTATCTATGTATTATTATCAGAAGATAGCATATTTGAGAGATAAGATTCAAAATAAATTGTTTGGATATGTAATTTCAAACATTTTCGAAAATATTCTGTTTTCTTTGCAAGAAAAATTATGAAAATTCATTAAGATGTTAATTTTGTACTTTTTTTTAAAATTGGGAACAATAAGAAAAGCCATTTCGTATATATGAAACAAAATATTATTTGGAAATTTGCTTATCCTAGGAGGCTTATTATACATTTCTTTCATAAGTATTTAATGTTTGAAGCTATAGTTATTTTTATCAACAATAATTCTATTCTCATGATCTCAATATAAAAAAAATTTTAGAAAATGAATTATCATCACAAATTACAATTTCTAATTATAAGTTAGCTACATTAATTTTATTCATTGGTTTCTAATGGAAAGTGCAAACTATAAATTTTTATTTCAGTAATACTATTTATTGAAGAATATGTTTACTGTTTGCACATTATATTTGTTCAATAAGTATGTTAATAATTTTGAACAAACTGATGGATTTTCATTCTGTTTAATTATGAAGAATTATGTTATGATAAAATTATGTAATTATTACATACATTGAATTTCTTGATAAATTTTCATTTAAAAGCAATAGAACATTCTTATCACAGTGTTCTATCATATTGAATATTTATCTGTATGGACTAATTCATTTTTAACTGTTTTTATGTGAATACTTTTGATATATAGAAATAATTATTTGAATAGACAAGAGCAAACTCAGTTGAAATAATTTTAAACGTTGATGATGATATTCAAATAATTTGGAATAAAAAACAAATAAATATAATGTGACATATGGCCTGTTATAAATTAAATGTAAACAGGAGATAAATACTAAAAACTTTTGTTTCTGATATTGGATCATTTTGAAAATTAATAAAAACTGATATGAATTGTGTAACAGTTTGCACACACATATGTAAGTGCATATACTGTAATTCAAAAGTTTTAGTAGATTTTATTTGGATATCTCAAGACACAATATAACAAAATCAGAATTTTGATTTTGTTTTTTGTGAAAATAATGCTTCATTTACATGTAGTGTATTTTGTGGAGAAAGTAAATATTGAAAGAATCTGATATTACTCCAGATTTTTAATAAATGTCTATCATTAAGTGCTTGCTTGTAATAGTTACCACAGTTGCAAGTACTAGATTTTAACATTAAAAATTAACTTTTATATTTATTACTTTACAGTAGTCTCGAAAACTTGGCACTTGATAACCCGGCAGTCCGGATAACTCGGCCACACCCTGGCAGGGCAAAAAAATCCTTAGTTAATTAATTTTCATTATAGACAGCTTTATAAAAGTATAAAAGCTCTCATAAAGTATTTTTCTGAGGTCTGTCTTATCAGGTAAATTACTGTACACAGTGTATTCATTAATTTTCATTTTCATGTAGTAAAGGCTCTATGCCTTCATAAAGGACGTACTTTTCCTTTGTTTAAGGGTATTTGGGCAGTTTATTCTCTGTTGTATTCTCAAGCAAACAATACATACAAGTACAGTACAGTATTTTCTGAGGAAACACTCATACTTATTTTTTTTTAACCCCATTCCTGATAACCCAGCATTTTCACAAACTTGGCCACCCTTCGGTCCACATTAGGCTGAGTTTTCGAGACTCTACTGTAATATTAAAAGTTGTATTAGATATATAGATAGATGTGTAATGATATGATTACAAGTAATTTTACTACTTTCTTCTACAAAATGTTTTTTGAGATATTACTAGTAGCTGTTTTCATGAGAGAGAAATTTTATATTGATTTAATGATTAATTAAAATGTACCTTTGTTTTTATATTTTATCTGCTTTATCCATTTTATCATAGAATAAATCTTTTGTAGTCATTAATCAGCAAATATTTTCTTTATGGAATAGAATTTAAAGCCAGGTGACAGTTGTCAGTCTTATATAAAATCACTATAGAATATGTTGCTTTATCTGCTGGAACAATAGTTTCCAAACTTATTATTCCCACAGACCCCTTCTCATAGCAAAAGCACCCAAGTGAAATGACTCTACACAACTACATAATAGCAAAATTACAAATTTAACTTTGATCTCTTGAATGGTGACGTAAGAATAAAATATAAGTAAAACATTTTGATATTTTAAAGTAATTTTTATTGAAATTACTAGCTAAAGCTTGCCCAGGTATAATATAGTGAAAAAAAAATGTATAATTTATTTCTAATTGGGCTATAAATTACATTACAAAAATATGAAATTAATAAGCTTTTTATTTTATATACTGTATTGAATTTTCATAGAAAAACATTATTTTTTATCAAAAATGAATTATTTATAATATTATTATAAAAATTATAATATTACTAAAAATTACATTACATTAATAAATGTAATGTAATTTTTAGTCATTAAATAGCTTTTATAATAATGAAAAACAACCAATAATTATCACTGTTTGAAAAGAAAATTAAATAAATGTATAAAATTTTATAAACAAAATAAATTCTAAAATGTCATAATGTATGCAATTTATGAAGCTCGCAGCTTATTTTAACTTCATATTAAACCTTTTTCAGACTCCCCTGATGTCGTCCATGTACCTTAAATTAATTCTAATTTGCCATGTACCCCATCAATGGTTCCAAGGACCCCCAGGGGTCCATAGAAACCATTTGGGAAACATTTTGCTAGAACAAAAGCATAATTCTGATCACTTTGTTCATTTGAGAATAAAAACTGTTTACTTCAATTTTTTGTACTTAGTTATTTCGAACTGTATTCAAATTGTATTAAAATAAGTTTAGAGTCATTACAGTAAAGGACATTTGATACCTTGGTATTCAAATTTTCTTTTATGTTATATTATTAGCCTTAGTTTATATATGTAGACTTATGAATTATTTGAGAAGTTATGGAGCTAGACCAAAGTTGAACAGTTATATTTCATATTATTAAAACAATACTGCATAATCATTTGATCAGTTTTAATGGAATAACTTCAGATTGTTGTCTTACAGTAAGATGAATGCATTTATTACTGTTATATTAAGTAATACAATAGCATTATGTCAAGGAGTTTTTAATAAAAATATTTAAATTAATATATAAGGAATCAGTTTTTCTGATGTGTTAGGCCAGTAATATGCTTGGCCTTTTATTTCACTGTTACACTGAACAGCACAAATGTATTGGTGAAATCAAAAAACTTATTTTAAGAAAAGCAATTGATATGATATTATATTCTGAGCCTGTACTTTGATTTTTGTGAATATATACATATATTCAAATGATAAAAATAATTTGTCAAATTAAATTTTTTAAAATGTTTTCAATAGATGTATAAAGAATTGAAACTGAATATCTTCGGATTGGATTAGGCATGTAGAAATAACTTATTGCATTGAAAATATTTTTAAAAAGTGTTATAAATATCAGTAACAAAACTTCACAGAATCAGAATAATTCAGTTCCCCTGATAGAATGATGTGATATTAGTTTTATATTAATGCATAATATATTACACACACAGATTCTTATATTAAGCTACTTTCAAGTAAGCACCTCCTTCACCCTACATATTTCTGCCAACACCTATACTACTTTCAGAGCAGTCCTCGGAGTTATTTTTTATGATATCTTTATTTGTTTCATCACTGTGACTTCCATTCTGGGGCATATTGGGATAAGCATAACTTCTCTTTCATTTAGGAACAGATAAAAG